AATTTGGGAGGCCGAGGTGGGTGGATGGCTTGAGCTCTAGAGTTCAAAACCAGCCTGGGAAACATGCCAAAACCCCATCTCTACAAAAAACACAACAATTAACCAGGTGTCACTGCCGGTGCCTGTGCTCCCAGCTACTTAGGAGGCTGAGGCAGGAGGATCGCTTGAGCCCAGGAAGTAGAGGCTACAGTGAGCCTTCATCGCGCCAGTGTACTCCAGCCTGGGTGACAGAGTGAGACCCTGTCTCAGAAAACAAAAACAAAAACAAAACCACAAAGTGGCACTCAGCTCTCGATACCCAGACCCAAGGTCTTTCCAGAAATGTAGAAAGACTTATCTCCATCAAGTCTTTCAAAAGCAAACAACTTTCTCAACACCTTAACAACTAATAAAGGCCATACCAGTGTATGCTGTCCGAAGATGAGCCGTTGTTGAATGAATGAACTGACAAACCACTCCCGCATCACAGACCAACAGCAAGGAAGTATATGTCTGCTTTCTGCAAAATGACTGAAAACAAGTTTCTAAATGGCCACGACTTTGCTGTGCTGCTCCTCCTCAAAGACAAGGGTTGAGAAGCCATAGACACAAACTCAGAATTTCAGTAACCAAGAGAAATTATAGACAGTTACATTCAAATTGCATGGGCCAGGCTTTCTTTTCTTATCTTTTCTCCTTCCTTCCTTCCTTCCTTCCTTCCTTCCTTCCTTCCTTCCTTCCTTCCTTCCTTCCTTCCTTCCTTCCAGGCTTTCTTTTCCTTCCTTCCTTCCTTCCTTCCTTCCTTCCTTCCTTCCTTCCCTCCCTCCCTCCCTCCCTCCCTCCCTCCCTCCCTCCTTCCTTCCTTCCTTCCTTCCTTCCTTCCTTCCTTTCTTTTTTGAGATAGGGTCTCACTGTCACCCAGGCTAAAATGCAATGGCATGATCATGGCTCACTGCAATCTCCACCTCCTGGGCTCGGGAGATCCTCCCACTTTAGCCTCCCAGGCAGCTGAAATCACAAGTGGACACCACCATGCCTGGCTAAATTTGTAAATTTTTGAGAGATGAGGTTTTGCCATGTTACCCAGGCTTGTCTCGAACTCCTAGGCTCAAACGATCCACCCATTTTGGGTCCATCCACTCCCAAAGTGCTGTTTTTCCTTAGGGTTCTGCAATTGGCTATAAACCTCTATCAAGAGCAGTAGTTTCTCCTTACCTGTCCTCTCTGTCTCCATAATTGATCATAGACTCTACAATTTACAGATAGCTCTACCCACATCCTTTCCCTTCTCCCTGCCCTCCTGGTTCACGTTCTTTCTGCCCCATCGCCTTCGTGGTCTGAAACAGTCCCACATTTTACCTTCACTCTGAAGGTAGGCAAGGGTGGGATCAAATGAAAAACCAAGAAATGACCAAACCCTGGTAGGCTAGAACTAGGGTTTTAGCCAGGCTCTTTTCCTCTGAGCACAGCTTTCTCGTTGGCCAAATCATCGCCTTGCAAGAGCAAACAGCATCTTCACCCTCAGAGAGAAACAAAATATGGCCAAAGATCTGGAAGGTGGAGACTTCTCTTCTCAAATCTTGGCAAAAGATACATGCAAAAACCTGGTTCTCATTGAGGAAAAGAGTTCTTTACAGTTTGATGAAGCAGAAATATATTTTACAATGTGCATCTCCTCCCTGTAATATTATCCCTTCTGTTTTACAGCAATAGCTCCCTAGTGGAAACAAGCAGAAAACAACACACGTAAGTGAGTTCCTGGTTAAGATACTGGGAACTTAAAGCAGGACATGTTTGAAATGTGAGGGCATTTTTTAACACCAAGGAAGGTAATTATTCCCTGGGACTTCGTGGACATATTTTGCCGAAGAGTTGTCCTTTCAAACAATAACTGAGAAGGGTGAATCTCACTTTGTTGCCAGTTTAGAACTTTGTGTTTATCATCTGGGCAGTTGAGGGGTTATATTCCTCAATCCCAGTATGCTGCCACCCAGTGGCGGCAATGATCAGCCTTGGTCATGTGGCTTCTACAAGGCTTAGCCAATGAGCACTTTTTGTTTTTGTTTTTGTTTTTAAGTCAGGGTTTTACTTTGTCATGCAGTCTGGAGTGTAGTGGCAAGATCATTGCTCACTGCAGCCTCGACCTCTCAGACTCAACCAATCATCCCACCTCAGCCTCCCCAGTAACTGGGACTATAGGCGCACACAATTATGCCTGGATAACTTTTGCATTTTTTGTAGAGACAGGGTTTTGCCATGTTGCCCAGGCTGGTCTTGAACTCCTGAGCTCAATTGAGCCTCTTGCCTTGGCCCCCCAAAGTGCTGGAATTACAAGCATGAGCCTCCAGGCCTGGCCAAGTATGTTTATTTCAAAAAATAAACATTGAGAGCACACTGTGTGCTAGAGTCTAACAAAGGATATATGCATTTTCAGACATATGTTGACACCAACAATTACAACACATTGCAATAGTCTACAAGAGATGTCTATAAGGTATTATAGAAATACTTAAACAGACAACATCATATCGCAAACTCTACAGAATGACCAGATTATAAACTTATGCAAGGTATTAATGGTTACTCTCACACAGAAACCAACTAATAAATGTTGAATGAATAATCGTGGAGCAAATTAACACTTTCTAAACAGTCAGAAGGCCTCTGATACATGTTTTTTACCAATACTGGCTTTCTTATTTGCCTAACAACAGTGGAAGGATTTTATACATGAGGAAACTGGGCTGAAGAGAGTCTTGCGTAAATTACTCAAATACAACCAATTAGCCTGTAGCAGAGACAAATTTTAAGCGAGATATTTTAACTCTAAGGCTTCGATTCTTTCCATTTTGTCATTAGTCTGACTTTTAAATAAATATTTGTGGATAGACAAGTTCCATTTTTGATGACGACATGATGGCAACAAGCTCCATTTTTCAAACAAACTTTAAAAGCAAACCCACCCCCTAAAAACCTCTCCTAATCTTAAAATCTTATAAAACTTGTCTAACCACATTAGAAAGTTCTTTTCCAAGATGTCTATGAATTCACAGCTTCAAGACCAAGCTTCAGAGACCTCCCAGGTACCCTCCCCAGTCTGCCCAGCCTTCTTTCTCCTTCTCTAACCAGAGCCTTATCTATGGATTAACAGTTCCTAGTGGTCGGGCATGGTGGCTCATGTCTGTAATCCCAGCACTTTGGGAGGCTAACGCGGGCGGATCACAAAGTCAGGAGATCGAGACCATCCTGGCTAACATGGTGAAACCCCATCTCTACTAAAAATACAAAAAAAAAAAAAAAAAAAAAAAAAAAGCCAGGCGTGGTGGCAGGCTCCTGTAGTCCCAGCTACTTGAGAGGCTGAGGCAGGAGAATGGCATGAACCCGGGAGGCGGAGCTTTCAGTAAGCCGAGATCGCACCACTGCACTCCAGCCTGGGTGACAGAGTGAGACTCCGTCTCAAAAAAAAAAAAGAAAAAAAAAAAAAACAGTTCCCATCACTCAACCCAGATCACAACTCGTGAAACTCCTGAATCCTTCTGACATTTCCAAAGCAGTTATAAAAACAACTTTTAAGAATAAAGTTCACACGACTAATTTTTTCCAGTAGGAAAAAGCCATATATTATTTGATTCATAGAAGAGTGAAATGTCCCCCCACCCGCCATTTGTAGAAAAAGCTGCTAACACAGTACGAATGGAAAATATATATATGTTATGCATGTAGAATTTTCAAAGCTCTTCTCTGAAAAAGTTGATATTCTGACTCCCATTCCCAAGAACGAACAAAACAAAATATAAACTAGATATTAGGAAACATAGGTTCAAAAAATAGCAGGCTGCACCTGGGACTTATGTAGAAGAAAATGACTGTTCTATTGTTAGAATGATCTGAACTAGAAATAATGATGTTGATAATGATGATATTCTGGTGAAATTAGGCCATGGTGGGCAAGGTAGAAGGAGAGGAAGAAAAAGAAAGATGGCCAGGCACGGTGGCTCAAGTCTGTAATCCCAGCACTTTGGGAGGCCGACTTGGGCAGATCACCTGTGGTCAGGAGTTTGAGACCAGCCTGACCAACATGGAGAAACCCTGTCTCTACAAAATTAGCCTGGCATGGTGGTGCATGCCTGTAATCCTAGATACGCGGGAGGCTGAGGCAGGAGAATCACTTAAACCCAGGAGGCAGAGGTTGCGGTGGGCCAAGATCGCGCCATTGCACTCTAGCCTGGGCGACAAGAGTGAAACTCCATCTCAAGAGAAAAAAAAAAAAAAGAAAAGAAAAAGAATTATGTCTCCTGAATATGAAATATTTTTATCTACAGATTTTAGATTTCTAGGCAAATAAAAATTTAATTTTAAGTTCTTATTTTTAGTATGATTAATAAACCCTTATTGAAAATAGGCCATATTACTTAGCAGTGGTGCCCTGGACTGGGACCCTGAAGCTCCAGTTCCTTTAGTTAGTCCTTAGCTTTATGGTTTGAGTCAAACGTGTGAGCCTCAGCTTCCTTCTCTGTAAATAGGAAAGTTGGACTCCTTTCTTATAAAATCCTTTCCAAATTAAAAAGCAATCACTGAGGCTGGTTGTGGTGGCTCACACCTGTAATCCCAGCACTTTGGGAGGCTAAGGTGAACAGATCACCTGAGGTCAGGAGTTCGAGAGCAGCCTGGGCAACATGGCGAAACCCTGTCTCTACTAAAAATACAAAAATTAGCTGGGCATTGTGGCACATGCCTGTAATCCCAGTGACTTGGGAGGCTGAGGCACGAGAATTGCTTGAACCTGGGAGGTACAAATTACAGTGAGCCGAGGTCATGCCACTGCACTCCAGCCTGAGTGACAGAGCGAGACTCTGTCTCAAAATAAAATAAAATAAAATAAAATAAAATAAAATCACTGAAATATATGCAGAATATATTCCTGATAAAAGAATCTTTGTTTGCTGGGGAACGTTTGATCATACTCTGGAGACTCTTAATGTGATTTAGGGTGGGGCCTAACTACACCCATGTAACCTTAGGTTGAAGATGAACCATTCTAAAAAGACCAACAATACTGCTTGGGACATTGTAACACAGTTGTCAGTTGACTTGGAGGCTGAGATCAACTATGTGGGCAATCAAGCAATCACACCTACAAAATGAAGACCCAATAAAAACTCTGAACACAGAGGCTCAGGTGAGTTTCTCTGTCTGACAATATTCCATGCATACTGCCACACATAGAAACCAGAAAAGTACTCTGTCCTGATGTCATGGGTAGAGGGCCATAGAAGCTTCACATCTGGTACTTGTCCTGGACTTTGCCCCATTTGTCTCTTCCCTGATCTGATTTTAACCTGTATCCTTTCCCTGTAATAAACTGTAACTGTAAATACAATAGCTTCTGGTAAGTGCCAGAAGTCCTTCTAGCAAGTATCAAACATGAGGATGGTTTTGGGGACCACCTCAAACTTGCAGAGGGTGTCACAGTAAGGACAATCTTGGGCATCATGCCTTCTAACTTGCAGTTACCCCCTTATTCCTCACAGTAGCCCATGAGAAGTTTAGACACACACTCTACTTACTGTAACAGTTAGCACTCAGAAAGAGTTGCCAGGAACCCTTTCCTCTCTTACCTCCATGACCTGTAAGTCATCCAGAATCCATGTAACCTCCCTGAGCTCCAGTTTCCTCATCAGTGAAATGAGAATGTAAGCTGCTCAGTCTCAATGACAACTTTATTATGAGACTCGATTAAGAGAATGACTGTGAAAGCTCTTTGAAAATGGCAACCTCTTTTTCAATTATAGGATATTAAGAGCTGTTGTTACCATGATTTTGCAGCTTAAATGCTTCAGGATTCCATTTACTCTCCTAATTTTACTGTATTCCTCATGACCAGTGAGTCTACCTTTCCATCAGCAGGTGCTGAAATTATGTCAGCTAGAACTTTCATTAGCAAATTGTTTTAGTCGGTGAAAAGTAATGGCAAAACAAATGCGGCATTTTGACGTAGCTGTATCTATTCTGGCACAGTGCGGTTTCGAGGCTAATGTCTTTTCAAACAGCTCTGTTTTGCCTGCAGACTTGAATACCCTCATTATAGTGTTTGAAAAAAAAAAGTTCCCTTATGTTTTTTTAAAGAGCGCCATTCTTCAAAAAGATGTCAAGAAGCTCTTTTTTTCCCCCTTGCTACAAGGTGTAATGTAGAGATAAGCACAAAATCTGGTTGGAAATGTGACCTATATTGGACTGGCAAAGCTTAATATCAAGCAAACAGCTAGTGTGGGAGCTGGTTTTGTCCTACCTTGCTGCTGGTATTTGCAGAAAAGTACCACATATTATGCGTGGACAGTGAGAGCAGTTTGAAAGTCAATTACAATTTTTAAAAATTGAAATCATTTGCTCATCGAGCTCATCAGAGTTTTGAACAAGTCCCTGGCCTTCCTCACAACAGCCAAAGCCAGGTCTTTTGGAAAACATTTTATTTTCATGCTCAGTGTAATAAGAAGAGAAAAGTCGTGTTTTGCAGATGAAATGGTGCTGATAATAAAAAGTAGGTCACACTTTCTCTCTCTGTCTCCATCACTCTTTACTTTCTCTGAAAGACAAAGGAGTGTTTCCAAGACATGAATCAAGCAGGTCAGGCACCTGACCTGGGTGTTCTTTGCACTCTGAGTAAAATTAGGAACATTTTCACTCAAAGCTGACATTTAACAAGGGCAGGGAACTTGGAAACAGTAACTGCTTTCTACGTGACTGATAAGGAGGGCTGGGGTGGGGATGCAGACAGCAGTTCCTCCAGGCATTCGGGATCAGCGAAAATCACAGGTCCAAAGAACCATAGGTGGCTGTGACCTTAGGACTCGGAACAGCAAGACAGAAAACAGGCACAAGGAGGAAAGCATGACATCTGCACCCATGGGAGACAATGTTATTGTGCATTATTATTTATTTCTCCAGCTATGAGGAGATTACACATCCCTACCCCAGAGTGACCAGGTCACTTTGTTTGGCCAGTGAAATGTCAAGTGTCATGTCCTGGAAGAAACTTTAAGAACTTGTCTTTACTCTTTCCCCTGGAGTCCTACAGAGAAGCTGTGCTGTTACTCTGGATCCTGGCGTGGAGAAGACCGAGAGCAAGCAGAGCCAGCTCTTGATGGCCCTACATTGTACACAAGAACTCAGTCTTTGTTTCTGCAAGCTATAGCATGGTGGGGTTGTTTGTTACTGCGGCATACCTAGTCTATGCTGACCCATACAATGACCCTCAGGGCTTCCCTTCCAAAAGTATGAGAAGGAGGCAAACAGTAAAGAAGCTTATATGTTTGGCAGTCTATATTTCTAGATCATTTTTTAGCTCAGAAGTGGGTGTTAATATATCCATAATCAACTGTACAGACTGGACTGCAGTTGCTTTGGCACACACTGTGTCTCCAGGATCCCCACATAAGAAAATAAAGCCACTTAGTCAGGTGCGGTAGCTCACGCCTGTAATCCCAGCACTTTGGGAGGCCAAGGCGAGTGCATCACGAGGTCACGAATTTGAGACCAGCTTGGCCATATGGTAAAACCCCCCCTCTCCTAAAAATACAAAGATTAGCCGGGTGTGGTGGTGCGTGCCTGTAATCCCAGCTATTTGGGAGCATGAGGCAGGAGAATCGCTTGATCCCAGGAGGCAGAGGTTGGAGTGAGCTGAAATCGCACTATTGCACTCCAGCCTGGGAGACAGAGCAAGATTCCATTAGAAAAAGAAAAGAAAAGACAAGAAAAGAAAGCCACTTAAGGAGACTGATTGCTGTTAGAAGGTAGTGATGGCCTTCTAAGTGATGATCTACCAGTGGTGGCCCTGTGCTAGACCATGGAGCAAAATGCACAAAGACAATCCTAGACTCAACTGCCTGGATGCAAACTCTAGAATCTACTACTTCCTTCTGCTTGATCCTGGGTGACTTGTCTGACTTCTCTGAGCCTCTGCTTAGCCATCTATAAAAGTAGGCTAAGAGTCAGGGGATGTTTCTGCCATACAGAATTCTGCTAAGTGATCCTCCTGCCTCAACTTCCCAAAGTGCTAAGATTATAGGCATGAGCCACCACGCCAATTTAAGGGAATTAAATAAATGAATACACATAAGAGAATAGCACAAAGCCTACGCATGTAATAGTTACTCAAAGTATGTTGGTTATTGTGGTCACTGTTCCTTTGGCTGTTTAGTAGGATCTCAAGTGAATTATTAATTTGAATTGGAAATGAGGAACATGAACAGCACCCCTTGGCGGCGGCTGCTGTGACTGAACTTAATGAAGTTACACACTACGTGACACCATGACTATTTGCACCTGAAAGTTCTTTTTTTCTGCCCTGGGTCCAATCAGAAAGCTCCTCTTCTTACCACAAGTAACCACAATAACAACTCCTCTGTGTTCTTGGAACAGGTAGCTCAGAAAAGACAAGAGAAAGCGCTCAGATTTGGAATGACGGATCATGTGAGACCCCACAAAGGGAAGAGAGAAGCCACTTTAAGTTCTGTAATATAGAGCTTAGACAAGTAACTTGACTCCTCTGAGCATTAATTCTGGAATTTCTGAAATGGGTATAGCGAGAGAAAATTCCTCCAAGGCCCGAGGATAGAATAAGATAATGGATGCAGTGGCAGGGCTTTCAGGATGAAGCTGATTTCAACATCAACGGTTATTATCATTAGTAATAAAACTAAGAATACAAATCCTGCCAGGAATACACAAAATAGTAACAAGCATTCTGCAGCCTGTCTCGGAAAGAAGAAATAGTTTTCTTAACAGCCAGCCTGTCTGTGTAGAGACCTCTGAACACATTCATAACAGAGACAAAAGACGTGGGTCCTGAAGCTGAGAACAACCAAGTGACATTCCAGCACTGCCAGAAAAAAAAGGGATGGAACATGACCTATGTAAGAACCCAGCCTGGGAAGAAGAGAGGTTTCATGGCCACAAATCAACAAGGACTCCTTAGGAAACGGAAGAGAGAAACAGGAAATGTATATAAGATGCCTCTTACAACTATTATATATCCATTTATTTATTTTTGTTATGTTTTATTTTTTTTAAATTTTGATAGGGCTTTCTTTCTTTTATTTTTGAGACAGGGTCTCACTTTGTCACCCAGGCTGGTGCAATCACAGCTCACTGCAGCCTCAACCTCCTGGGCTCAAGTGATCCTCCCACCTTAGCCTCCTATCCTCCCACCTCAGCCTCCTGAGTAGCTGGGACTATAGGCATGCACCATGACGCCTGGCTAATTTTAAAATATTTTGTAGAGATGGGGTCTCACCATGTTGCCCAGTCTGGTTTCAAACTCCTGGCCTCAAGTGATCCTCCTGCCTCAACTTCCCAGAGTGCTAAGATTATAGGTGTGAACTGCCACGTCTAGCCTATATAACAATTTCTTAAACTATTTTTGTTTACTTTTAAAAAAAGATCTCACTTAGGATATCAGTATTTCTGATCTATATGTATTCCTTGTCAGTATCATTTTCATTCCATAATATGGGTTTTTCTCAATGATTAAAAAATAGCAGATATTTATTAATACTTCTTATGACATATGGTGGTTGGTTCTGGAGACACTACCAAGAACTGGAGATAGAGTCCCTGCCTGCAAGTAGTCACAGCCATGTAGGAAAGCAAGAGATATTAAATGGCAAGTTACAAGCGCGATGAGTGGGAAAGTTCAAGCACACGGGCTGCAGTTCCAAGAGAATGAAAATATGTTTGGTGGTGGGAGTGACAGTGGTTGGGGATTAGGAATAATTTCCGACGGACCATTTTGTTGACTTCGTGAAGTCTTGAATTAAATTCTTTTTAAAAATCAGCCAGCTGTAGGGGTAGGTAGCTACCCAGACTAGATGAACCTTGCTCAGTTCCTACACAAATGCAGGTCAGTGGTTCCCACTGACTAAGGCTGCAATAGGAATTACAATCCTCTAGAGGTATTTAAAGGCTGTTTATTTGAGGGTGGGACATCACAAAACCATCCCACTGTTCTTTTCATAACGATATTCTGACTTGAGTTTGGGGAACCACGCCTCCTGACTCTGTTTGGGAGCTTTGGGAGGTCTGCAGTACCAGCTGTAGGGTACATCGTGTGACCCAAGACTTGCTAGACTTCCAAATCTCCATGGCTAGAAAAATTGGTTCAGAGCGGGCATGTGGTCCAAGCCACGTCAGACAAAATTCCAGGAAAAGAGCAAGTCTGGTCTTCTCCCACCCTACTGAATCTGGAAAGATGTGGTTTAGAACAGTCAACATTTGTCATAAGACCTAAGGAGGGAGCTTGTCACAAAATGGTGCCAATGCTGAAGAAATAAAACCAAGGGATGAAAAGAGGGAAACCAGGTCCTGAAAGTTTAGCCCCTGGATCAAGCTTTACCTGATCCCCTTACCACATCTATATCTTTCAGTTAATTAAACCTGTTTGAATGAACATTTTTTCTACTTGCTATCAAAAGTGTTTAACAGTGGCAATTTCACACAGCAGAAAATTGAAAACTGTTTGCCTGACCCTGGGTTGTAACAATTGGATAAACTTTCCCAGAATTTATCAGACATTTAGCTTAGAGTTCATCCTAGAACGAGTCACTTTCATTTTGTCTCAAGTCTGAGATATTGTACCTGGGATGGAATTTTACTAACAGGCAGAATGACCATTCGTCTTTGCTCGTCCAGGCCAATCCCAATTTACATCTGTTGTCTTGGTATAATTCTTATTAGTATCTCATTTCACTCTCAAAAGTATTCAAAATCCACTGAATGGTAAATTGTAAGGTCACTCTACTGGTAATTCTTCTTTACAAACTTTTCCTTTTAGAGCAGAATCTCCCCAAATTCTTTCTAGTGATAATTGTGGCTAATTATACTCAGTGAATAATCTCATCTTGCCAGTCTTCCCATGTTTGACTTTTGGGGGATTAATCATAGCTTTACAGCTGTCAAACGAAGTTCTTGAAAGCATGGTATTATTGTTTTATCTAAAGGAAACCCCTCTGAAACAGGGTCTCCATCCATCATACCCCCTGTAGTAGAAAGGGCTGATTAAAACTTCCTGGCCTGCAAACTTGTTTGTTAACATGGTGCTTCCTCCCTGCTGTCAGCATAAGGTCTTCCTCGTGCAACGTGTTTAGGATTCGGCTGAGAGCATTGTTTTATCAAGATGGGACGGTTATCTGCACGGGAGTACACTGTGCTGGGAATCTGGCCGCCTCTGTAAACACAATGATAACATCGTATCTGCACGCTCAGAGAAGACAATGGTTCCAAATTCCCTTTTCCTAATTAGAGTTCAAAACAATAGGTGGGAAATCTGAGGCCCCACTATCATTATCTATTGGCCTTCATTTCTGGGCATTGATTGAGCTTGGAGTGTTTTGTGTGTGTGTGAAAAATTGCAAATTAAAATTCAGGCCTCTTCCATTTTTCTTCTTTGAGTGTTCTTCCTGTTATAAAGCTGTAGTGATCAAGATTAAGAATTGGAAGAAGAAGATTTGAGAGTTATAAACACACGTGAATGATACCAAGTTCCTTTTCCAAGGGATTCCAATAAGCAAATGTTTGATCAAGGCAGATGATAGGATGAGAACTGGTGCCATGTTTTTTTTTGTTTTTGTTTTTGTTTTAATGGTTTTGGTCAGGGAGAGGAATAGACAAGCACTTTCCCCAAACGGTAAGAAACTGTTTGTCTTCTGAGTCAGTGAGTGATAACACTCTCTGTTATTTTGCTAATAGGAACCAGCAATGTCACAGTGCAATTTTTCATTTTTTTAAATCCTCAAATGCCCAGTCCCCTGATAACATTTGGCGCACTGATCTGCATGCGACATTCATTGTTGGCTCATTGGCCAGCATCATTAGAGGGACAGTCATTACTAGCAATCAAGTCATATTAAGTCGATTTACATTTATGATTGCCCTGTAGAGTAACAATTAAGCTATTTAGATGGAAAAATCTCCCAGGCTCCCGTGAAAGGGGTCTTTCGAATGGCAGACACATAGCATTTACTTCTTATGGAACTGGAGCAGCCAAGATAAATGACAGGTGACCAGATTCTCTGTTTCATGACTGGAATGGTCGTGTAAAGGGAACCCTTTTAATCTGTACAACCCAAATGAATCATGATCTGATTTGGGGTGAGTGGTGGTGGAGTGAATGGGGAGGCATATGAAGAAAACTGGAGAGTAACTTTTAATTACAACAGGAGTCCAAGCTGTCACTTGATCTCCATTTAACCAGCCAAGAGGTCTTTCAACTCCTGCTCAGAGCCCTCTCCTGAACTTCTAGATCAGGCTAAGTGATCATTTTCTATGTCTTTGGTGTGAACCACTATCTTACTACCTAATACATGACTGTGGAATTAACTGATTCTCTGTCTCTCCACCAGGCCAGACCACAGCCTGCTCACGGGTAGGGCCATCTGGTTTCCCTCTTTCACTCATAGTGCCTAATAGTTCCTGATCCCACACTCTGTACTCAATACATTTCGTTACACAAAGCATCAATTCCCATTCAGTTACTCACATAAGAAATCTTCTGTATTAAAAAGAAAGAAAATTACATGAAACTGGAACCGTCTCGAAGTACAGTGTTCAAGCTGCAATTCCCTCATTCATTCACTCACTCATTCACTCACCTGCAAATATTTCTGAAGCTCGTCCTATATGCCAGGTACTGTTCTAAGTGCTGAAGACATGAGTGGACAGGACAGATGAGGTCCCTGCTCTCTGGCAGCTCATAGTTCACGGGAAGGCAATACAATAACTTAGCAATAAATTGAATGAATGAATGAATGAATGAATGAATGGATAGATAATATCAGATAATGGTAAGTGCTAGACAGAGAAATAAAACAGAGTCATGGGATACAGAAAATGTGAGTAGTGACTTTGAACAGGATAGCCAGGAAGGACTCCTGTGAGGGGATGTCATACTTGCATCAGAATGATATGGTCATACTTCATTTCCAAATGCAGTTGTCAAATCTCAGTTTCATCTCTGATGACCCTCAGATGGACCAATAATATCAGTGAATTTTCTGCTACAATTTCTTGTTCAGAATAGCAGTATGGGCCAGGTGCAGTAGATGTCTATAATCCAAGCACTTTGAGAGGCCAAGACAGGAGGATCGCTTGAGGCCAGGAGTTTGAGATCAGCCTGGGCAACATAGCAAGACCCCGTATCTACAAAAAATACAGAAGTTAGCCAGGCATGGTGGTGCACACTTTAGTCCCAGCTATTCAGGAGGCTAAGGTGGGAGGATGGCTTCAGCCCAGGAGCTGGAGGCTGCAGTGAGCTATGATGGCACCATTGCACCCCAGCCTGGGCAACATAGGAAGACCCTGTCTCTAAAAAGAAAAAGAAAAAAAAAAAAAAACTATAGCAGTATGAGCCCAGATATTGGTTGGGGTAATGCTTGCTACTGTGATGCAGTAAAAGATTGCTCCCATAAAGTCCAAAACTAGTTCTGTATTTCTGATCAACAAGTGACTTTGCTCTGGGTGCTGACTCAGGGACCCTGGCTCTATCCAGCTTGTATATGGCTTCCAAAGTCATCATGCTTGTTCACATCAAGCCTGCAGAGGAAAGAGCAGTGAGGGTTTTGCATGACAGGTTTTTACAGGTCAAGTTGAGAAAGGGCCAACGTCTCATCTTCCAACAGTCCACTGGCCATGACTCAGGCACCTGGCCGTACCTAACATGCAAAGGCTCAAAAATGCAGTCTAACCATGAACCAGGAAGAGGCAAACAACTGGCTTGCTGATGTCTTGGGGACTCTGCTTACGTGAAGCACTAGGTAAACTTGTAAGGAGAATTAAATCAAGCCTGCTCCCTGCCAGTTCAGGGCCTTGGATCTCCTCATATTGCTTCAGGGACAGCAACTGCCATGATCAAAATCAAAATCTATTCTGGCAAGAGGTAGGGTGGAATGTTGGATGTGGGAAGCAAAAGCTAAGGCTGAAATCCAATGGGTTAATTCACTACAGAAAAAAATACTCAGAACTGTTGTGCTCTCAGACAGC